GCTGGGTGGAGGTGGGTAATGGGAAGGAAAATGGGGAGGAAAATGGGGACATCTGCCACAGTGTCAAGAAAAATAAAGTTTAAAAAATGATTTGAGAAAACATTTTAAAAAAGATAGCTGCAAATACTTTGACACTTCTTCAACTAAGCCCTTCAACTTGGATGCAGCTGAAACAATGCTTTGCCAGTTTCAGGCCTGGCCTCTAAGTAGAGCAGCAGGTTCCCACTGGAGCCCTGAGTCTGCTGGACAGAATGTGTTGAGGGGCCCAAAGCTACATGGAGAAGGAGATGGGCTCCACTGAGCTCAGACTTCCAGCTGTTCTTGCCAAGGGGCCAGACATGTGAGTCTTGGACCTATGAGACGCTTAGCTGCCAGCTGAAGTCCACCAAGAGACCCCAGTCAAAGTAACAAGGATGAGAAGAATTGTCCAAATTCTTGCCCCATAACATGGTGAGATAAAAATAAAACGGTGGTTCTTTTAATCCACTGTTTTGGGTTAGTTGGTTTATCAAAGAAAAATAAGCTAGTGAAATTAACCAGTTGCCTAACTTTGACATTAGAACAGAACCCAAAATGAGAGCCCGAGTTGCCCTACAGCCAGTGTTGGACTTTGTCTCTGTTCAGTCCTCACGTTCTGTCTTCTGGCTTGGCCGTGTTTCCCATGCTTTCACTATTGTCATGCAGCAAAGGAAAACCATAACAGCAGGAGAATGCGGAGAAACCAAGTCCATGTCTAAATACAAAGGAGGGTTTCCAGAAAATCTTCTCCATGCTTCTTAAATTAGGATGAACTTTTGAGAATATCACAGAGGCCACTGAGCAATTATTTGAAATGATGGGATGAAGAACTGACACCGACTTTTGAGTTTGAGGCCTATCAAAGTTGCCTTATTAATAGATCTTTGCAACTTTTTCAGGTATCTAATTATACATCATTCTGGAGTAGCTGTCAAAAGAGTTTTATCTTTTTACAGCCTCCTTCCCCAGGCAACTTTTAACTGCAAGTTGAATCTGTACCCAGACCCTTTTACTGGTCTGACCCCCGTCATCTCCCACTTTAAACACAACTCTTAACTACAAAGAACAGCACTGAATTCTCCTCCCCCATTCCTGCTCTCTCTTTTCCCACCAAACTCAAAGTAACATATAAAACTTGTCACTTGCCCTGGCAGGGTAGCTCAGTTGGTTAGAGCTTTGTCCCAATATGCCATGGTTACTGGTTTGGTCCTCTGACAGGGCACATACAAGAACCAACCAAGGAATGTAAGTAGAACAGCAAGTTGAGGTTTCTCTCTCTCTCTCTCTATTTTTTCTTTTTTAAAAGTAGTTTTTAAAAGTCACTTATGGCATGTAAGAATATTTTAATTATTGGTAATGGTTGATTATTCATATTTTGCTGGGAAAATATATTCACTTTAGGAATACACTTATAGAATTATACTTTTAGAAGTATACTGCCTTAGCACTTAAAAAATTATTTCACTGATAAAGCTGAATTAGGGATCAAAATTTGTTTCTAAATTTCCTGTCTTTTTCTGAAATTCCCACTTTACCTTTTTCTTAAGTGACTCTGGATATAAAATACAAATAAATAAGAGTTCAGTTTGAGGAAGAACTAGGGAAAAGGTTAAACTGAGACAAGTCTAGAGTGGAAATGAGCAAGAAAACTCATCAATTTTGGTACAAGCCAAAAAATCTCTTCTTGACCTTATCCATATTGAAAGCTGATAGGACTTTTCTTTGATCCTATAACATTCTGTATTCATTGAGCAATCAATGAAATAATAAAGAAACTGTATAGAACTTGGATGTACAGTTACTCTTATATTTCCCCCCTGAAACAACTCTGAAATGAAAGACAACTATAATATTTTTTAAAAATATAAAAAAGTCATGAAAAGTCTTTCTGAGCCATAATTTGACTCAGCTCATACAATGATAGCATGGATTCCCAAGTTGCAAATTGTTTTGTAACAGGTTCCAATTTTTCTCTTTTTACTCCTTGTTTTAGTAAGAAAATAAAAAGAAAGATTTTCATATTTTTAGTAGAATACAATGCAACCAAATCAAGAGTCAAAGCAAAGGTATCGTATCTTCAGGAGCTAAATGTGAATGATTCACTCTCTAGTGTGAAAGATTTCGAAACAGAAATGTCAAAATAGATCCCCTACAGCAGGTCCCAACGCTCAGAGTCAATACCAAATAAAATGTAAAAATAATGAAGAAAGGACCTGAGGAACAGAGAATGATGAGTTTATTACCAAGAAAAAAGTTCCTGGATTAAAAATTCCTGGGAGTGGAATTTTAAAATGGTTTGTCTCCTTGACCTAAAACTGAGACCGAGTCTTAATAAAATGTAGGGTGTCCCCAAAAAAATGTATGCACACTTTGAATAATTATTAATTCCAATGGGTTAAATATGAAAAGAAAGAAACATCAAATGAGCTATCAGTTGATGTTAAGTGTGTATAGACTTTTTGGGGACACCCTGTAGATGCCTGAATTATTTTTCTTTCTTTTATTAAAAACCAAGAACATTTCAGTTGATATGGAACTGATAATTTGTGAGTGAACGTTTAGCTGACTTTTCTCCATGTGTGGGGGTGGTACAGGTGAGGCGAACCTGTACCAGAAATGGGAATCTATGACCTAAATCCCTCTACCCTCCCTCCCCTACCATCACCTCCCTTAGTCACCCCCCCCCATCCCACACAGGTAGTTTCAACAGGGGAGACTAAGCTTTGCAAATGGTCCTCTGAGAGTCTCCCAAAGATGAAAGAGGGGGCAGAACAATGTGAGCTAGAGAATGAACGGGTTTTTTTTTGATGATTTAGGAATCCCATTGTCTGAATACCTCCATCATGTATTTTATTCTCACTTGTTCCCAAGTCTATGTCTTCACAACCATGAAAGCTCAAGGACAGCAGCTACATCTTGTCATGTCTGTTCCTTATACCCTTCCTGCTCAAGTCTCTCTGTTGAACTAAATTATGAATTATACTACTCAATTTAGGGATAACTTATTATATAGCTTATCACTGAAGAATAAGTGCCTTAAAATATTTTTTATCATGAAAAATTTATTGAATAGATTTATATGAAATATATAAAGGGACCACTATACCACACCACATAACACTATAAACTAGACTCTAGATTTTGTAATAAAAAATGTATTACAGGAATGAAAAGCTGCCTATATTTCTTATCATATCAAGCAAATTTGTTCCTCTCTTTTGGTTTTTCTTTTCATCAATGCCTCTCTCCTCAAAGGATGGTTGGACTTAAAGAAGATTCTGTTGTTTATAGGAGCCAAGCATCCTCCTTGTCTTTTTCTCCTTTCTCAGTCTTGTTTGTCATAAGCTATTCTGCTCTGTCTTTGGCTTGGGTTAGATGTTTCCTCAGTGGTGCAGTTTGCTTTTAGAATGCTGAATAACTCCTACAATTCATTGTCATCCTGGTTTTTACCTAAACTTTGGGACGAAGTTTAATTAATTTTTTAAAATAATATATCTTAAATTTTGATGGTGCTTTTTAAAAATATGTTTTTATTAATTTTTTTTTAGAGAAAGAGGAAGGGAGAGGGAGAGATAGAAACATCGATGATGAGAGACACATCAATCGGCTGCCTCCTGCATGCCCCCTACTGGGGGTGGAGCCTGCAGCCTGCACATGTGCCTTGACTGGGAATTGAATAGATGACCTCTTGGTTCATGGGTCGATGCTTAACCACTGAGCCACATTGGCTGGACTTGATGATGCTTTTGTAGACAAAACAGTAGGGATGGAAATAACTCTGGGCTGGAAACTTACATGTATTTCTCCGTTCACACAGGCCTCTGTGTTCCTGCCTATGTGCTTGTATGTGCTTGTATTTTAGAGCTGTCTGGCTAGAGAATATTAGGGTTAATATATGTTAAAGGTCATAGGAATGAGCTGTGCAAATGAAGAAAATTAAATGTATAGAATGGCCTAAAGTATATAATGAAAATGGGTAACAGATAATAGAAGTAAATGAACTTAGAAAATTTTTTCAGCTCATAGGAGAACATTAAAAAACCCCATCAGTCTATCCCTAGACATTACTACTAATATTTATCATATTTATTTCAAGTAATTTTATATTCACATACCTATACATATAAATTATATTTGACAACCTTATCCATTTCTCTAACATGAAGTAATAAGGTTGCTTTCAACTTTTGTTGTAAATAATCTTGTAAAGAACATCTTTGTGCATGAATTCCCTGTTTCCTTAAAATGAATCCTAAAAATTGTAATTACTAAGTCAGAAGGTAAAACCTTTAGCAGGATTTTGTTTTCTAGAAGAACTGTTCAAATCTTTACTCCTGCCAGATATTCAGAAACATGCTTTTTAATGAGAATTTCTTTGTTGCCAGAAGGGTATATAATTGAATATAATTGGCAAAATGCTCTAGATGCAAACCGCCTAAGCCAAAGATGGCTAATAATCAGCAAATGTGAAAAGCAGTTCTAAACAGTAGAGCAAGACTGTTAATATTTTAATTCACTTGAAACTAACAGCTGTCCTGGGCACCAACTCTCAAGGCTTCTTGACTTCCTTTCTTGTGACCAAAATGCTTTTCTAAATCCAACAAGAGAGGAAAGGGAAAGAACCACCTTACCTGTCAACGCTGAGAGCACAGAGATTGAGGACAGTGATCCCCACTGAAGACTTCTGCAAAAAGGGGAACAGCTTGCACAGAAATATGCCAAAGTCATTGTGATCAAAAGGCCAGCGCCCAGCCAGCAGCTGAAAAAAAAGGAGACACAGTAGTAAGAAATGGCAGGGCTGGCATGGAACTCATGGACACATACTCCTAATTATCTTCTGGACTTCTAAATTTTATTATTCATTATGCTTTCCAGCTAGCATGGTGATAATAGAGTAGTATTCTTATTTTCATATTTTAAAGCCTCAGCAATCTGGAAAGGTATGGAAAATGATAAATATAATAACAGAAGAGATAAACCTTTGATCTTATATGAAGTAGTCATAGCAACTACTTTTTAAAGAGTAGCAAAAGTGTGGGGCTTGGGTGACAGCTTAACAGAGAAGCAGGTAGTCATCTCTTATCAGTTCTTGCTAAACCAGGAGTAAAGCAAATCATTTTCAGCTAGTGGCATTAGAAGATTATATTGTCTCCTGACAAGCAGCCAGAGTTCTGAATGCGAGGTTATGCAGAATACTGGGAAAATGAAGTGGTTTAGGATGTACTGACTTTGTTAGCTGGTCAATACCTAATGCCATGTGGAACTTACCTTTTCCTCTGTGCTTAAGCTACTGATTGCTTCAGTAGCTGTGTCATAAGTGACTTTTCTTTATTTAGGCTCAAACTTGTCTTTATCATACAGAAAAATGTGGATTCTGTGATCTGTTTGTAGCATTTGCAGAAAATCTATTTTTTCATGTTGACAATTTGAAATCTTTTTTGGTAGGAAAGGATGGACACCCTCTAGTGGCTGTGGTAAGTAGCAAGAGCATAAAGTCCTGTAAATGACTGATACTCATCTGATTCGGCACTGTACTAGGAGCAGAATAGTTCAGCTGCCTAAAAGGGGAAAGGAGGTCTCTGTTGAATACATGATGCCTTTTCAAGAGTAAGAATAGTGTTGATTTCTAAATTTTGCTTAGTGACTCAGAATTTAAACTTACTGCACTCAATAGGAAACATTATCCTACTAACTAGACAAATATGTCTTTTTTTCTTTTTCTTGCAAAGTACCTATTGCCATAGTAACTCTAAGATGAGCTTCGTATTTCTGTTCTGCCATTTCTAAAACATTATGTGAGGTTTAATTTCATGGTCAATGTGGTCATTAATGTGGATCCATGGAGAAAGAAGGTGGGAAACCAGTATCCCATAGATAAGAACCTATGTATTTAGAGAATTTAGTGACAAAGGCTCTCTAAAATTCTGTTTTTGTAGCTGAGACCCTATATATGACTTTTCAGAAGTTATATTTAGTTTTCTAACATATTTCTCTTTCTTCTGAATAGTTTTCTAAAAGGACCTGTGCCTTCAACCCATTCCTGCCTCTGGTCTCTTCTTCCTCTAATTCTAACTAGTCTTGGTTGGTGTCTTCTCAGAATTTCTACAAAAACTTTTATCCAAGGACAACTGGTGGGCTTTTCATAAAAACACTGCCCTAAACTCTGACAGTTTTCATGAAGCTAACAATTATACCATTGCTGATTGCTGGTTATTAATGCTTGATGCCAGTAAAGACAAAACATTATTTCTGGGATGAACCATCCCCTACAAAGAAAAGAAAACCAGAAAACTACTTTTTATAGAATGAGAGTTTAGCATTTTATCCCAGAATTGTAATTCTCCTTTAAAGACTACAGAGATGTAATTAAACTGCGTAAGGGCTGTTATAGGATATGCTTTGGAATTGTTGAAATGTTATTATTGGTTCATTCTTAGAGGCAGAGGATTCTGAAATCCACCTGGATGGATTTCCCAATTCAAGCATCCAACAATGAGAGAAAAGAAAAGTATGTTTCTTGCTTACCCAGGGAGACTCTGAAGTCCTGTGAAGGTCTAAGTGACAAGTGCCAAGAAAAATGATCCAGAAAAACCCACAACTGAGCGTGCATTGTTTTGGGCCCTTCCTATCCCAACTGAGATTTTTCCTTTTTCAGACTTGTTTAAACTTTTAACTAGGGTTATGTGTAAAGAAAGGAGTGAAGGGAAAGATATCTTGGTATTGGTGGGCACTGAAATGATCATAGAATTGTCTTTCTTTGACACAAATAGGTGTTTTGTTATTTTTCTTTTCCCCAGGAGTGAGCATTGATTTTTTGGGGGGAAGTAGAGACAAAGGGGAATAAAAGAAATAATCGGAGGAAAATTTTAGGTACAAGCACAGCATAGACTTCTCCAACCTGTATCTGCTTCATTCTGAAAGATGTATGGTTAGTAACTGTTTCAATGCAGCCCCAGGAAATAGGCCCCTGCCTGCAGGCAACTTCTTACCTTTTAGGTTAACTGTGGCTTCTACAAAGAGGCCCTACTTAAGTACCCAAGCTGAAATCGGGTAGTACCTACTTGTTGATCTCATTCATGGAACCAACATTGGAGTAATTTTACACTTAAAGTCTCCTTTCTGCTCACCCCATTTTAGCAGTAGAACATATACAAAAGGAAGGGGATGTCAAAGAGGCATGGAGTGTAGCTTCCTCATTTTTCTCTTACTAGAAAGGCATTTTGGAACTTCTAAGAGACTACTGGGAATGTATCCTTTCTTTTATATACAACTAGTAAAAAATGAAAATGCAAAATTTTGAATGGTAAAAATAAGCTGTATGAAAACATAACAAAAAGCATGTCTCCGTTCCAATCAAGGCCCCTAAACTTCCTGCCCAAAGGCAACCACTGTTAATTGTGTTTTCTCCCAGAAAACTTCCTATGCACATACAAGCATATGCCTTTTGTAAAAACAAGTGGAACCATATGGAAAAGAATTCCTATTAACAGCCTTTTATGATATTTTTTTCCTAAAGTATTTTTCTGAAGCCTAATTGAAAGGTTTTCATTTTTAAAGCACAACGATGAAACAATTTAGGCTAGGATAGAGAGAGATAAATACTGCTTAGGATAAATTAGACCGTAGCAAAAGAACTAGATGATTTCATTAATGTGAACAAGCTACTACCAATTGGTTCACAGGGTACAGTCATATCTTAGTTTTGCCATAAAAGGGTCTGCACTATTATGCAGCCCTCATATTTATGATTTCCAGGTACATAGCACAGTTCCTAGCGCATGGTAGGTGTTGATTGAATTAATGATTCCAATTCATTAATTCAGGACAACATTTTCATATTTTGAAATTAGATAGTACCAATTTTGCCCTGAAAAACACATTCGTTCTGTAATTTACTTTCTATTTAAAAGTTGTTTCTCATGATCTTAAAGTAGTATTTCCATTTTTACTGTTGAAAGAAACAATGCATCTACCAACTAGTTGCTTGAGAAGGTGGGAGGATACTGTTTTACATAAGACCCAGGTTGAAGAGTACATGTCACAGACTCTTTTTGGAGATCTCTCACTTTGGGCAGAGGTAGGACTGCTCAGCCTGTACCGAGCCACAGAACAGGCACTTGGAGATGATGTGCATCCTGTGGTCTAAATACAAGCCATGCCCTCCCCTTCTTGGGGTCACAGAGGGAATACCACAGAGCAATCACTGAGGCAGCAGAGGGCAGCCTGCTGAGCACGGATTTTACCTACGGACGCTTGCCTTGGTTCTTATGTAGGGAATTTTTCTATAATTGAAATATAAAGTCCCCGATCATCATCTGAAAACGAAAATACTACTAAATGGCACATATTAATGTAGAAACCCTGCCTGTATTTGTGTGGCTGATTTGGATTGTGTCAAAATCAAGGTCATAAAATTGACAGACTGCATTTTTTTTAAACAGTCAAAACAGATTTACTGAAGGACTTGTACCACATGATACACTGATAAGCACCCTGTTTTTAGAAGGACTAGGTCCAAAAGCAGGATTTCTCGACTATATTTAGCACTAAGCAATATCTACTTGGTTGGGAACTTTTAGATAAGTGCAATGTACCTATTTCTGTCAGTTTTCTGGAACACACTCAACAACCAGAAAGTAAGCAAAAATGTAAGGAGCCAATGGTTGACGTGAAATTTACACCCTAAAGCTTGAGTACTTGACTCAGGGGCAAACTGCCGAGTCTTCACTGAAGGGTGATTTATTCTTACTTTACACCAGTGCTATAAAGTTTAGCTTTTTTTGTTCTTTAGTCCATTGCACATCCAAAGCTGCTCATTAATAGGAACCTTCCAGAGTGACAATTCTTAGTCTTGGCTGTACATTAGAATGATTTAGGGAGCATTAAAAAACCCCAGTGTCTGGGCCATGCCTCTAGATTAGTGCTTCTCATCTTTGCCTGCCTCCACCTGCCCCCCACCCCACCCCCAGGGGACATTTGGTAATGTCTGGAGACATTTTAGGTTATTACAGCTGGTGGAGGGGGCGAGGGAGGTTACTAAACTATTGGGTAGAGGTCCATAATGCTGCTAAGCATCTTGCAATGCACAGGACAGGCCCCCCAACAAACAGTTATCCAGCCCCAAATGTCAATAGTGCTGAGGTTGTAAACCATATTGTAGACCAATTAAATCAGAATCTTTGGAATTGGGACAAAAGCCTCAGCAGTTCTTAAAGCTCTCAGGTGATTCCAGGGTGCAGCCAAGGCGAGAATCACTGCTTTAGCACAGTGGTTCTGAATCTTTAGCAACATCAGACTCATTGAGAGGGCTCATTAAACCAGATTGCTGGGCCCCACCCCAGAGTTTCTGTTCAGTAGGTCTGAGGTGGAGCCTGAGAATTTGCATTTCTAACGAGTTCCCAAGTGATGCTGCTGCTGGTCCACCACCCACACTTTGAGAACCACTGCTCTAGAGGCACCATGATTGGCCAAAAAAGTGACAGCTGACAGCCAGATAATGCAGAAGGAGCCGAAAAGAGTCTAAAACAGACCTAAGAAATAAAAACATCACAATGGTTTGGGTGGAGTATCCAGCATCTCATTACCCTCTCACCCCACCAGCCCCTAAAGGCATCAGTATATAAAGGTGCAGGTGACCTAGCTGGTATGCCTGACCCTAATGCTGCAGTCTAATGTCCCAGGCCTCACCAGTGTGACACTACAAAGTAAGGCTGTTCTTTCCCTAAATTCATGAGGGACTCATGAGGCTTAGGGTCACAT